TCAGAGCACCCAGCACCTTGAGGAGACTGAACAGGGAATCAGGTGTGAAGCTCGTTATCAAGCGGTGAGAGCATGCTTTTTCCTTCCCCCTAAGCCTCTGGTCTCCTTCATTAGGACCCCCTCAGAGGTGCCAGTGTCGATGCTATATCTTCACGACAAATTCAGACAAAAAAGGGTCAAGTGTTCATGTTGTGTCACAACCTGCCAGTCGCAGATGCATCATGAGTTGAGAAAGGCTCCACAACTCGCCAGGGTGTGAGGCAGGTTTGAGAAGTTTCCCGAAGGCACAAGCGAAGAAGCGCTGTCCAGAGAGAGGACACAGGGAGAGGTATATAGTGTTCTCCTGGCAGCCCAAATGCCAAGTGTTTGGGTCATACCGCGGTAATCCCTGGGGCTGGGTAAGTGGGGATTCAAAGCTCAGGCACAGATGACCTCAGCCCCTGTCAGCCCCACGTGTGATCTGGGGACGCCAGTTGCTGATCAGGGCACAAATGTGGCTGTCTGGGCTCCTCACCACAAACCAGAGCAGCTCGAGTAACACAGCAAATATCTCTCTTATTATTTCAGGATGTTTACAGACCGACGTTTGCTGAGAAAACATCCACACACGAGCAAGTCATCTTTTTTTTTAAAATAACACAAAAAACCTCTTATCTAAACACAGACACAGGCAGTCATACAAAGCCACGACAGGGTTCATTCATTCAAAATGCATTTCCCAAGTGGCTAGGACACAACTGGGCAGATGCTCAGTGGGCCTCTGCCCCATCCCAGACACAGTGCTGGGGATCCGGCATGGCACAGAAGCCAGCTCCCCTCTCAAGGGGGTTGCTGTCCAGTGGGGGAGATGGGCACGTAAAATGGAGGAGTAGTGGTTGGTTGGCTAAAAGGCGAGGGGGGGGCACTGCTCTAGATTAAAATAGGCATAAAGGGACTACGACCAAATGCAGCACATAGACTTTGTCTGGATCCTGATTCAAACAATCAAGGAAACTGAATATAGACAGATGAGACCCAAAAAATTACTGTTAATCCTATTAAATGCAATAATGGCAGTGTGGTATGAAAGAGACTGTCCTTTGTAAGATATATGTACATATATGTACATACACACACACACACACACACACACACATATATATATATACTGTATTATATAGGGGGAAAATGACATGATATCAGAGATTTGCTGTAAAATATTTCAGGAAGAAAACATGGGAGGGAGGGAGAGAGGGAGAGAGAGGGAGCGAGAGGGGGGGGAGAGAGAGAGAGAGAGAGAGAGAGAGAGAGAGAGA